TAACTTACAAATGTACAACCTTGTGTGTTTGGTATTGCTGAAGCTGAAAATGTGCAGTATGGATTTTACAGTTTTAAGGTCTCCTCCAAACAGTAAGAACAAAAATAAGAATGTAAATTCCATCTTTAAAGAACCTATGTCCGGCCGGTGTGGCTCAGTGGTTGAGCACTGACCCATGCAGCAAGAGGTCGCTGCTTCGATTCTCAGTCAGGACACATGCCCAGGTTGTGGGCCAATCCCCAGTGGGGTGCATGCAAAAAGCGGCCAGTCGATGTTCTCTCTCATTGATGTTTCTATCTCTCTCCCTCTCACTTCCTCTCTCTCTAAAGTCAATAAAGGAAAATAAATAAATAAAGAAAGAACCCAGGAGACACCGGTAACCCCAAATCACTATATATGATAGAAAACAGAAGCAGGAATGGTAAATGACTTAACAGAGTAGAGGAGGAAGGGATACTGACAGCAAACAAACCAATTCACCATGCACAACCCAAAAAAAGTCCAGGTCTGGAGGTACCAAGTATGGGCTAGGGTAGGAGATTGAACATAGGGGGATTGTTTGAAATTCTGCAAAGAAATAGACCTCCCCACCTACATTCCACAAACTCAAAAAAATAATCTCTTCTTCACCCTGCTGAGGACAGAAAATTTATTTGCTGGTGAGAAAAATAAACCCGAAAAGCACTAACCCCAGGGCAATCACACACAGAGGGTGGTAAAAGACTGAAAACTGAAATAGATACACTCCTGTCGTATTATATTCTGATTAATAAACCCATCAGCCCCTATCCCCTACTCAGGTCAAGGTCACAAGAAACCAGGCTTATTACTTCCAGGCCCCAGACCCTACTATGGATTAAAGAATCTTTTTCTGGAAATTAGAAACTCCATCTAACCACATGATAGCCTTATAATGAAACCACTTTTCAGAGTCTCACTTTCACTTTAAATCAATTTTATTAATGTATAATTTACATACCATAAAAATGTACATATTAAATGTACAATTCAATCTGATTTAACAAGAACCATGTAACCATTGTCCTAAAAAAAGACATTTACATGACCCTAAAAGTATCCCTCTGACCTTTCCCAATCCCTAACCCACAATATCTGTCAAACACTGATCTGATTCCTATCGCTACAGATTAGTTTTGCCAGTTCTAGATCTTCATATGAATGTAATAATAATATATATATTTTTCAGTCTGGCCTCTCTCACTCAGCACAATGGTTTTGAGATTCATCCATGTTTCTGCATGTATTAACTGCATATTTCTTTTTATTGCTTAGTAGATATTTTACTATATGATTATACCAAAATTTGTCTTATCTATTAGCCAGTTGATAGACATTTGGGTTGTTTCCAGTTTGGGCTATTACTAATTAAAGCTGTTATGAACAGGCAAGTAAAAGTCTTTCTGTGGATGTTTTCATTTCTTTTGGGTAATTAAAATGGAATTACTGAGTCATAATAAGTGTACATTTAACTTTATAAAAACCTGTAAAACTGTTTTCCAAAGTGGTTCTACCATTTTACATTCTCATCAACACTTGAGAGCTTTAGTGACTCTACATCCTTTTGGATATCTGTCAGTTTCTTTAATTTTAGGGGGTATGAAGTGTTATCCCACTGTGACTTTAATTTACATTTCCCAAATGACTAAGGATGTTGAATACTTTTTCAAAGGCTTTGATATATATCTTTATGAAGTGTCTATTCAAATATTTTGAGTTGTCTTTGATTATCCAGTTCTAAGAGTTCATTTATATATTTCAGATACAATTATTTTCTCTGGTCTGTGGCTTCCCTTTCCATTTTCTTAGCAGTAGGAGGTTTTAATCCTACTAATTTTTATTAATCCAAATAGTCAATTTTTCTTTTATAGTTAATACATTTGTATCCTGTCTTAAAAATCTTTGTTATACCAAGGCCATGAATATCTTCTCTTAAAGCTTTTTGTGGGGTAGTTCTATAGTTCCAACTCTTAGATTTAGCGCCATTAATTTTTATGAATGGTATAAGGCTGAGTTTGAAGATCATTCAGGATCATTTATTTGTTCAAATGACCGTGCACACTGAGTTACGTTAGAGCCTTTGTTGAGAAACAAATGGCCAGATATACACCAATACCATCTGGGATTTTGACTGGAATTTCAATGCATTTAAATCTCCATTTGGTGATAATGATCTTAACAATATTAAATCTCTAATCCATGCAATCCATGAACATAGTATATGTTTCCTTTTATTCAGATGCTCTTTAATTTTTCTCAGCAATATCTGTAGGTCTTTCATTACATTTATTCCCAAGTAGTTTATGTCTTCCGACGCTAATGCAAATGTACTATTATTTTATTTTCATTTCCCATTGTGTTTGTTGCTCGTGTATAGAAACATATTTGACTTATTTATTTTTAATTTTTTTTTCTTTATTGATTTTACAGAGAGAGGAAGGGAGAGGGAGAGACAGATGGAACCATCAATAAGAGAGAACATCGACTGATTGCCTCCCACATGCCCCCCACTGGGGATCTGGTCTACAACCTGGGCATGTGCCCTGACCGGAAATTGAACTGGTGACCTCTTGGTGCATGGGTTGATGGTCAACCAGTGAGCCACACCGGCCAGACAAAACACACCTGATTTAAAAAGCTAAAAAATTGAGAGTGGTTGTCTCTGAGGAGCAGCCTAGTTGGGAGTGAAAACTCAGAAACTGATATTTTTTAAAAGCCCTTTAGGCATTGACATTTTATTTATTTATTTATTTTTTAATCCTCACCTGAGGATATTTTTCCATTTTTTGTACAGATAGAGTGGGAGGGAGGGAGAGGAAGGGAGAGAGAGAGAGAGAAACATCGACGTGAAGGGACACATCGAGTGGTTGCCACCCGCACGACCAACCAGGGCCGGGGACAAACTGCAACCGAAGTACGTGCCCTTAGCGGGAACCAAACCCGGGTCTCTCCGGACCACAGGCCGACGCTCTAACCGCTGAGCCAAACCGGCCAGGGCTAGGCATTGACATTTTAAATATAAGAATTACTATGTAATATTATTAACAAATTTATTTATTTATTTATGTAATGTATTTTTTAGAGAGAGAGGAAGAGGTAGAAACATCGATGTGAGAAAGGAACATCGATTGGCTGCCTCCTGCATGCCCCCTACTGGGGATGTGACTCAACCGGAATTGAACCAGGACCTCTCAGTCATGGGATGATGCTCAATCCACTGAGCCACACCAGCTGGCCTATTAACAAATTCAAATAATTAAAATTGGGTTATAGGGAGATGTAAAGATAAGGTTGGGGTTGATTATTGTGTGCTAAGGCCGGAGGGCAGAGGTGTAGGGGAGATGAATTCAGCTTTAGGTATGGGCTGTTTTGGTGGAACATCCAGAAGATATTCCTCATGCAGATGGATATATGTGGCACTGAAGTGATAGGAGCTGAAAGTACAGGTCTGGTCTGGCTGGTGTGGCTCACTGGTTGAGCATCGACCCATGTACCAAGAGGTCGCAGGTTTGATTCCCAGTCAGGGCACATGCCCAGGTTGTGGGCCCAATCCCCAGTGGGGAGCATGCAGGAGGCATCCAAGGGATATTCTCTCTCATTGATGTTTCTATCTCTCTTCCTCTCCCTTCCTCTTTCTATAAAATCAATAAAGAAAAAATAAAAAAGAAAGCAAAGGTCTGGAATAAGCACCAAATAAAGGTTTTAAAACCACAAAAAGTGGACAAGGCTGAACAAGCATGGCATGAAAAAAGGGTCAAGGACAAAATTCTGAGGAAGCCTGGCATGTATGAGGCTGACATGAGGCGAGGAGAAGGATGCCAGGAAGAATACAGAGAATTAATTTTCAAAGGGCAGGTAGAGAACCAGCCAAATATGACATGGAAGTCAAGGGATGAAAGTGTTGCATTCCTCTAACATGCTGAATTCCAAAGATTCTTTTTACCAATAAACATTAGCGCTATAGTCTCCAGTCTTCTTTTACAGGTTATTTCTCCCTAATTTAATGAAGAAATTTGGGAAGTTAATAAAACCTTAAACAACATAAATGTAATGATGGAAAATAGAGAATGGTGTTACATGTATTTTTCATATTGCTATTGATGTGTTCTATTTCAGGAAACATCTGGAACAGAAAGTATGAGGTAAAGAACTTCCACTGCTTATCTCAACTGATGAAATGGTTGAAGACAGTGGTCAACATAAATCTTATAGATACAAGAGAGAATTGGTTGAACATCCAAGTCACTTAAATGGGACATGTGAAGAAAAGGAAGAGAAAAAATTGTAGAAAAATGACTGAAAGCTTTTTATTTAACAGAGTACACAAGGTGTGATGATTCAGAAGTAATGAGTCATTTAGAAATAATAAAACTATTAGTTTGCCTGGAAAATACAGGCACTCTCTAGTGGATGACTCAGTATGAAAACTGATCCCAAGAGAAAATTTTAGAGGAATACAAAACCATATACCATGGAACTACTTGTCAGAAAAAAAAGAGACCTGGAATTTTTTTTTTTTATCCTCACCCGAGGACATTTTTCCATTTTTTGTTCAGATAGAGTGGGAGGGAGAGAGAGAGAGAGAGAAACATTGACGTGAAAGGGACACATCGAGTGGCTGCCTCCCGCACGACCCAACCAGGGCCGGGGACAAAATGCAACCGAGGTACATGCCCTTAGCAGGAACCGAACCTGGGTCTCTCCAAACTGCAGGCCGATGCTCTAACTGCTGAGCCAAACCAGCCAGGCAAGACCTGGAATATTTTATTTGTTGTGTTCACTTCAAAAATAATTGAGAAAACAAATGAAGAAATTTCTTGGAAAGGAAGATTTTCTGATGCTCAAATATATATGAATATGAAAGAATAATTATTGTTTTAGGTTTAGGGCTAATGTCCTAATGAGACTAAAAGTAAAATAAGAACATTTCAGTAGCAGGCTTGATTTGAGCTTATGGAAATTAGAAGTGCTTAAAAACTTACTTTTAGCAGAGAAACAGGAAATGTGGCTGAGGGGAAAAGCACCAAAAGGGCAGTCAGGAGCCCCTTCTCTCAGTTTCAGCTTCTGCACTGACCAGCTAAGTAAGCCGATCAAGTCACTTCCCTCACTGGGATTTTACCTTCTCTTCTGGAAAAACAGGATGAAAGATGGCTCTGGGATCTAGGGAACACAAAAAAAGCAAATAATTGTTTTCTTGGTTAGACTTAGGAAAAAAAGCTATATTTTATCAGATAACTATTTTATATTCCTTGATGTGGGAAGCACAATGAAATGGCTATTAATTTTTAATTAATGTAATTTGCAAAGCTACAGATTTTTCTGAGTACTGGCTCTCCAAGGAAAAAGTGGGGGTTAAACTTTACTGTTTATAATTTTTAAAAATTTTGTTATTATATACCAAAATATCAACAATAGTTGTCTGTCTGCTGGTATTTTAAGTTAAATTCACGTTTTCCTTTTCTAAGTCTTTTTCTATTTTTTCTATTTTTCGTTCAGACAGAGTGGGAGGGAGAGAGAGGAAGAGAGAGAGCGAGAGAGAGAGAGAGAAACAATGACATGAAAGGGACACATTGAGTGGCTGCCACCCACATGACCAACCAGGGCCGGGGACAAACTGCACCGGAGGTACGCGCCCTTAGCGGGAATGGAACCTGGGTCCCTCCGGACCGCAGGCTGACGCTCTAACCACTGAGCCAAACCGGCCAGGACTAAGTCGTTTTCTTATTTTGGGGGAGCTATATAAAAATCAAATTACAAAAGATTGTTAACAACTACTATGAACAATTATATGGCAACAAATTCGACAATCTAAGTGAAATGGACAAATTTCTAGAAACACATAGTCTCCCAAAACTAGATCAGGAAGAGATAGAAAACTTGAACAGACCAATAACAACAGAAGAAATTGAAGATGTAATCAAGACTCTCCCAGCAAACAAAAGCCTAGGCCCGGATGGCTTCATGGGGGAGTTTTACCGAACATTCAAAGAAGAACTAATACCCATTCTCCTCAAACTATTTCAAAAAATTCAAGAACAAGGAAGACTTCCAAACTCGTTTTATGAAGCCAGCATAATTCTAATTCCAAAACCAGAAAAAGACACAACAAAGAAAGAAAACTACAGGCCAATATCCCTGATGAATATAGATGCCAAAATCCTAAACAAAATACTAGCAAATCGGATCCAGCAATAAATCAAAAAAATTATCCACCATGACCAAGTGGGATTCATCCCAGGGATGCAAGGCTGGTACAATATTCGCAAATCCATAAACATGATACACCACATAAATAAAATGAAGAATAAAAACCACATGATAATATCAATAGATGCTGAAAAAGCCTTCGACAAAATCTAGCATCCATTTCTGATAAAAACGCTCAGCAGTGTGGGAATAGAGGGATCATATCTAGACATAATAAAGGCCATATATGAAAGACCTACAGCCAACATCATACTCAATGGGCAAAAACTAAAAGCATTTCCCTTAAGAACAGGAACAAGGCAAGGATGCCCACTTTCGCCACTCCTATTTAACATAGTACTGGAAGTCTTAGCCACAGCAATCAGACAGGAAGAAAAAACAAAAGGGATCCAAATTGGAAAGGAGGAAGTGAAACTGTCATTATTTGCAGATGACATGATACTACACATAGAAAACCCCAAAGACTCCATCAAAAGTTTACTAGACTTAATAAATGAATTTGGCAAAGTAGCAGGATACAAAATTAACGTCAAGAAATCGATGGGCCCTGGCCGGTTTGGCTCAGCGGTTGGAAAGTCGGCCTGCGGTGCAGAGAGACCCGGGTTCGGTTCCCGCTAAGGGCATGTAGTACCTTGGTTGCAGTTTGTCCCCGGCCCTGGTTGGTCGTGAGGGTGGCAGCCACTCGATGTGTCCCTTCATGTCGATGTTTCTCTCTCTCTCTTCCTCTCTCTCCCTCCCGCTCTATCTGAACAAAAAAATGGAAAAATATCCTCGGGTGAGGATTAAAAAAAAATAAAAATAAAAAAAAAAGAAATCGATGGCATTCTTATACACCAATGATGAACTCACAGAAAGAGAAACTAAGCAAAAAATCCCATTTACCATTGCGGCAAAAAAATTAAGATACCTAGGAATAAACTTAACCAAAGAAATAAAGGACCTATTCGCAGAAAACTATAGGTCATTGAAAAAAGAAATATAGGAAGATATAAAAAAGCGGAAGCACATACCCTGTTCATGGATTGGGAGAATTAACATCATTAAAATGTCCATATTACCCAAAGCAATCTATAGATTCAACGCAATCCAAATCAAAATACCAACGGCATGCTTCACAGAATTAGAACAATGATTTCAAAAGTTCATATGGAACCAAAAAAGGCCTCGAATAGCCACAGCAATCTTGAAAAGGAAGAACAAAGTTGGAGGGATCACAATACCAGATTTCAGGTTATACTACAAAGCCACTGTAATCAAAACAGCCTGGTACTGGCACAAGAACAGGCACATAGACCAGTGGAACAGAACAGAGAACCCAGAAATGGACCCAAGGCAATATGCTCAATTAATATTTGACAAAGGTGGCAAGAGCATACAGTGGAGTAAGGACAGCCTCTTTAATAAATGGTGCTAGGAAAATTGGACAGCTACTTGCATAAAAATGAAACTAGACCATCAACTTACACCCTACACGAGAATAAACTCAAAATGGATAAAAGACTTAAATGTAACTCATGAATCCATAAAAATCCTAGAAGAGACTGTAGGCAACAAAATTTCAGATATCATACGCAGCAGAATTTTTACTGACACATCACCTAAGGCAATAGAAACAAAGGAGAAAATGAACATATGGAACTACATCAAACTCAAAAGCTTCTGCACAGCGAAAGATACAATCATCAAAACGGAAAGGCTACCCACTGTATGGGAGAGCATAATTGCCAATGATATATCAGATAAGGGGTTAATTTCCAATACATATAGAGTGCTCATACAACTCCACAAAAGGAAGACAAAGAATCCAATTGAAAAATGGGCAGAGGAACTGAATAGACACCTTTCCAAACAGGACATACAAATGGCTAAGAAACATATGAAGAAATGCTCATCATCACTAATCATCAGAGAGATGCAAATTAAAACAACAATGAGGTATCACCTCACACCTGTCAGAATGGCCGCCATCAACAAATCATCAAACAACAAGTGTTGGCGAGGGTATGGAGAAAAGGGGACTCTAGTACACTGCTGGTGGGAATGCAGACTGGTGCAGCCACTATGGAAAACAATATGGTGTTACCTCAAAAAATTAAAAATTGAACTTCCATTTGACCCAGTGACCCCACTTCTAGGAATATACCCTAAGAAGACTGAAACACCAACCAGAAAGAATACATGTACCCCCATGTTTGTAGCAGCAGTATTTACAATAGCTAAGATCTGGAAACAGCCCAAGTGTCCATCAGTAGACGAATGGATAAAAAAGCTGTGGTACATATACACAATGGAGTACTACACAGCGGTAAGAAAGAAAGATCTCTTATCCTTTGAGACTACATGGAGGGACCTGGAAAGTATCATCCTAAGTGAAACAAGCCAAACAGAGAAAGACAAGTTTCATATGATCTCACTTATTTGTGGAATATAATGAACATAACAGTCTGAGGAAGGGGGTAGTCCCAGAGACGCGGAAATGGGATACAGACTGACAATCCCCTAAATAGGGGAGTGGTGGGGAAGAGATAAACCACAGAACTTATATGCATGTATGCATGAACAGTGGACATGGACAACAAACTGGGGAAAGGGGGGAATCAGTGGGAGGGAAAGGAGAAACATTTGTAACAAAAATTAATTAATAAAAATAATCAAATTACATTATATAAAAATCATTTGTACAGTTTAGAACATATATACAATGAAGCTTTAATAAGCTTTTCTTATTTATTTTTTCTTTCTTTATTGGTTTGAGAGAGAAAAAGGAAGAGAGAGAGAGAGAAACATCGACTGGCCACCTCCTGTATGCCCCCTACTGGGGATTTGGCCCACAACCTGGGCATGTACCCTGACCAGGAATCGAACCAGTGACCTCTTGGTGCATGGGTCGATGCCCAACCACTGAGCCACACTGGCCAGGCTCAGCTTAATAAACTTTTGAGTGCCACTATAAGCCAGGTACCTTTCAAGACGAGGAAACTATAATCAATGATTCTGCCTCAAAGCAGCTTACAATGATGGAAGGAAAAAGAGAATACCGAACTTTTACATGAAAGAAAACATTGAGGAGAACTGCTGAGCTCAGTTCCAGAGTAGAGCAGAAGTGGTTGGCTGCAAGAAGAAAGGGAAAATGGTTTGTGGACAGAGAGAGCAAAGCAGGAGGTGGCTTGGATGTGTGAGGAGATACCTGGAGTATGGTATTTTATTCCAGCGTCAAGTGTGGAGAGGCTTTTAGGAGCTACTGGTAAAGGGGCTGGGCAGAGGCAACACAGCATTAAAGAGCCCCTGGAGAGGTTTCAGTGGAGAGAAGAGGGAACAAGGTCCAAGTTATACTGTAGGCAGAGGTCAGACAAACTTGGGGAAGTAAGATCAAAGCTAGTTAGGCCAGGTAGAAGGCCTCTGTAAAGTCCAGAAAAGAATCAATGAGGCTACAGATGAAGGCAGCTCAGAAGCTTAAGTGACTAAGGTGTGACCACAAATCTATGAGCAGGATCTGACTGTGTTTTATAAAAATCCTGTGCTTTTCTACATCCCTATAAGCACAAATTCTGGCTGAAGCTAACAGATCTTAAATTTAGTTTTGTTAAGTAAATTATGGATTTAAAAAAAGACTTTATTCATTTATTTATATTAATTACCTGAAATGTTAAGGGCATTAAAGAAAACAAGCAATGCTTGTCTTGTAAGGAATTTATGGGATAAAAGAAATGAGACAAAAAAAAAAAATAGATCAATTCATTCAACAGATATCTATCCCCTTCCTGAGGCTGATGGAGATCACATTCTAGCGACAGTTACTTTTAGAAAGTAATTTTTATATCCTTTTGGTACACGAGGTTCTTCAGAGCCAACTGGGAAATTCTAGAAAATGACCAGGAACCTGGTATAAAAATCAAGAGAGCATGGGTCAAGAGAAAACTTGTTTGAATGGGATAATATGAGAATAGAAAAAA